GAAGCTGCTAGAACAGACTATTCCTATTGTCACCTCATTTTTATGGAGGTAAACAAGGTAGACATTAAAAAGATATGAGGGGTATGGTATGAACATGTTCTATCTAGATGATTTAGCAAGATAAAATAAAAGAATCCTTAGCCTGGCATTAAGATGCAAGCCTCTAATCCAAGTTACTCAAGAGGCTGAAGCAGGAGGATTCCAAATTTTCAAGTGTAAGGCCACATGTGTCAACTTTTGAGATCCGGATCAAAATTAAAAATAAAAGGGCTGGCAGGGGTGGGGGCTGGGGAGGATAACTGGGGTTGTAGCTCAGTAGTAGAGCACTCACCTGCACTGGGTTCAATCCTCAGCACAAAAGACAGAGAGAAGGGGTGGGGAAGGAGAAGGGCAGGGGATTGTGTCCATCTACAACTTAAAAAAATAATAATTTTTAAAAAGGAGAGCTAGGGAGGGGCTGGGGTTGTGGCTCAAGGGTATAGCACTTACCTAGCACACGTAAGGCAATGGATTCAATTCTCAGCCCCACATTAAAATAAACAAAATAAAGGTACTGTGTCCATTTACAACTTAAAATAAAAATTTAAGGGGGGGGGCTAGGGATAGAGCTCAGTGGTAGAGTACCCCTGGGTTCAATCCCCAATACCACAAAAAATAAAGTGAATAAATAAAAATTAAAGGAAGTCTTAATTGGCTAAAGGGCTAACTGTTCCAATCAAGAGAATGATTTTCAGTGGCAAGCAGAAAGGTTATTATCTTGTGCTTTGTCTTAAGTCAACATATTTTTTTAAAGATCAGATTAGATAAAAGTAGAAAAGACGTACTCATCTTCCTATAATAAAGATAAAAAATGACATATTTCAAAAGAGGTAGCCAATAATATGAAGAACATGGCAACAGAAATCCTGATAAAACACTAAATTGGATGTAAATTTATATTCAATGAGTGTCAAAACCACACATATAGTTGTACACTAACACACACCATACTGACAGGAATGGACAAGATGGCAATGTGCAGTATTACCTCCACAGGAAAAACCCAGAAGCTCTGACTGACAATGAGCTCAGAGGCATCACAGAGTGCATATGCTGCCCAAAGGCCAAAGCCATCCTGGGATACACAGTCTACCTCTGGAATGATAGAGGTAGAGCTATAGCCAAGACCTCCATCTGCTATCACTGAAGGAGGTGTTCAGTGAGGGCTGGCACTTGAATGGAGGGCAGCCAGGGAAGAATTGTGATGAAGAGAACCTCTGGAGGGCCTGAGTAATCATGTAGACTAGTAATTTGTCCAACAGAAATATACTGTGAACTACATGAGGACTTGTCGATTATTTAGTAGCCACACCAAAAAAACTAAAAGACAAAATTAATGATGTTTTATTAACCCCAAAATATTATTTCAACATGTACACAGTTATCAAAAATTACCAATAAGTTATTTTATATTCTTTTTCCATACCACATATTAGAAATATATAGATATATACTGTATACTCAAAGTAACTCTCAACTCACACATGTGGAGCAGCAAGATGGGTGGGAAGGTTTAAGAGGAGACTGGCCCTCTGCTCCTAATCACCAGAGACTATAAGAATATACTACCTCTGGAGGAAGTGAGTTTCTCACAACTGAAGGAATCAAAGAAAGATTACATGATGATAAAAAATACTGCAGAAAGGGAATCTTTAATTTCATGAGGAAGAACCACTCACCCTGGTATGAAGAGATGAATTTGATTTCCTGGAGAAAAGAGAAAGCCTGACTGCTAAAGGGCAGAAACTAAAGGGAAAAACAAAACTCAAATAAAGCAAATAGTTACAAGGTAAGAGAAGTAGTACATGACTGAGTAAAAGCCATAAAAAGGGTCTACCTAAGGTGCAGGAAACAAAACTGCCCTCTCTTACTGCTTCCATATTGTGCTTATGGTTTGGTAGCAAGGTAGGCTGGCTGTGAAGTCAAGCTACCTGAAACCATGCATTCCACATACCTTCAAAGGAGGTGTTGAATATTATATAATTTGTTTCGTGTGCTAGATTTCTGGGAAGGAATGTATAAATTATTGAAATTTCAGGAGTGATAAGATCTCTTGATTATTCACAGCTGGCCCTATAATTTATGTTAATAAGGTGATTTAGGTGAGGGGGAAAACCATCTGATTAGACAATTGGGGCTCTAAGGTCAGTTCCTTATTGGAGGAGAGGGGAACTGGAAATAAGCTCCATTAAATCATATATTCAATTAATCATAACCACAATGAAACCTCACTAAAACTCTGGACACAGAGAAGTTACTTGGTTGGTGTATACATGGATGTGACAGGAGGGTGATGTGCCTTGATTCCACTGCGAAGGGGTACATCTTTGCATCTATGCCTTCCCAGATGCCCACTGTGCCTCTCTTCATTTGGCCGGTTCTGATATACGTCCTTTTAAACAAAATGTTACATGAAATGTTCTAATGAATTATCAAACCTGCAATGGATCATGGGAAACCCCTAGATTTGTAGCCAGTTGATCAGAGTAGAAGTGGCCTGGGTACCCCAAACTGGCAGCTAGCATTTGAGATATGGGCAATCTTGCTGGGGACCATGGCATTAATCTGTAGGACTTCACTAATTCCTGATGGTTAGTATCAGAACTGTACTATAGTATTTTAGGAGATCCACTTCTCCCAAATATATCTGGTAGTATTCTGCAGAGAGGCTGCAAAATCTGAGCTTCTCCTTTCCTGCCAGGGCCTTATCCCCATAGCTGAGCTCAGCTCAGCTCAGCTCAGCTTTTTATTTCCCTCAGCCCCAAAGAAAATGGCTCTCAAACCAAAATTGGCCTGTAGACATCTACTCCAATTAGGAGGGAATGACTAAAAAGAAGTAAAAAAAAAAATTAACAAACCGCTCACAAGGAGGTATTTTAATTTTGCCAAAACAAATCTTTGACTAGTTCAATATATTTCATTATAACGCAAAAGTAGTAAAGGGTAAAGAAGCCTTGTCATTGAAGAATAAAGCTCTGCCTTGAGTCAGGAATTTAAAGCTTCTAAAACACTTTGAAAATTCATTTCCTTTTCATAGACACATGCAATTATATATCTTACTATCTCTATTATTATAAATGTAATTTAACTGTTTGTAGAATGGTATTACAAAGCCTATGGTTATGCCTCAGGCATCGAAAGGCCACATGTCATTTAATACATAGATAAGAAGGGGGCGGGTGTGGGGATTGAGGACACAGAGAAGGGAAAGAGGTTAGAAAAGGGTTAGAACTGAGCTGTGGTGGGAATACCACATTCTAATCTCTAAAGGAGCACTTAGTGATGTTCAGAATGAAATAAAAATCACAAGCTTGGGAAAACTTCTGAAGCAAGGTCTCCAATGTTACCAATTCCACCCCACCCCTGTGCTTCTCAGTGAGTATTAGGCTATCACTAAGATAGTGAGCTGGGGCACACAATTCTCATTGTTGCAGGGATACAATTTGACTAAACTTAGGTAAGCACTTAAAATCTTTAAGCCTCTATTCACTTAACTGAAAAATGCTGTTGTGGAAAGTACAGAGTATTGGTATATAGTCCATCTTCAGAAAGTGTTAGTTCTGTTAACACTGGATAGAGGCTGAAGATAATGCAGTTGGCCAAAATAAAGGGCCCTCCAACTCAAGCAAAAACAAGGGCTGCCCTCTCTTTAGCTGCCACACTGAGCTTGTTAAGGCTGGCAGTGTCCTTGATTGCTATCACTCAGACAAACCCTAATACAAGCTACTTATAAGAGATTGCCTTCCCGACACAATCTTTGTACATTTGGAAATTACATCTGTGTTATTACGTGACCATTACGAACAAGATTATGCTTAATGGAGACACAAATGAAAGTCTCCAATTTTAGTTGCAGATGCCAAAATAATTAACTTAAATAGCAGTAGACTTACCTATGTATTCTGTACATAATCAATTCAGGTCAGAATAACAATTAATGTTCAAAAAAACTAGATTTAAAATTAGTAATGCATTTAATGTGGTTACTGATGTTTTCCTTGGAATATTTTTATGGTATTAACCTGGGATAATGTTACCATAAATTCAAATGCACAAGACACACATTTTACATGAAGGCCATTTTCAGTTCTTAGGTAATGACCAACTTACCAAATGGTTTACATAATATCTTCATCAAATTTTAAGTGTTTTGCATTAATTTATAAAATTAAACAACTTGAGTATATGTTTACTGTATGTCACATTTCACAAATATAGCAATAATGAATAAATTACATAATAACAAATTCAGTTAGCTTAACTTACCTGGAAATTTAATGACAATTCACTTTTTATTCTTATGACCCTACAAACCAACCAACCACTGCTATACAGATTTCTACTCTGTAAGTATATCTAATTAGCATCATGTCAGGGCTCATTTTCTTCACTTTTAATTTAAAAWTTTTTAAATATGCTGTCATTTTTAAAATTTTTAATAAAATAGATAATTCCATATTCATAGAGAGCAAGTCCACCTACTCTTGTTGATAAAAATTTAGAAATATTTTCTATAAAAAGCTTAATATTTGATTGGGAACTGATCCATCATATCATGATTTCTATAGGTTCAGAGTATTCATCCTCACCCCATTCTTACTGATTGAGAGGGCTTAGGTAACCTGCCAGGAGACAAGGCCAGACAATGTGACTCCCTGAGAGCTCCAGTTCTTAGCTACAACCATTTTCTACACTGCTTTTAAAACAGTGCCATGATATATCTTTACTCATATTAACATTGTTATGATGTGAAGTTTCTAAGATGGAGTCTGTCTATATAATTAGTGTAAAACTGACCAAAATGGTGGCTTGGGATATTCAGTGACAATAAGATTCTCATTTTATACATGTGGTATATTAGGTGAACCCTTAACATTATTTAGCTGATTAAAGCATATGAATTAGACTTGCCACACTTCACCAAGTTACTTAACAGTTAATGAAACTGTTAATGTACTTACCTCAATCAATTTGTTGGCATGTTCACGAAAAACTTGGGCATACTCCTTAACTTCTTTCTCATTTCCATTCTTTGCAGCTTCAATCAATACTAAAAGTGGAACGTTGGTTTCCAGGAAAGAATCTGAAACGTGGTCCATGACAGCTTTGCGGAGCTAATAATTAAATTGTATAAATTTGATTTTATTTCCACCAAGTAGCTAGATCATGTTTTTTTCTTTAGTACTTTTAAATCTAATAGAAGCATATGATAGATTGGTTGCACTCATATGAGTGCAATATATGAGTGCAACCAGTAACGCAACTGCCATAACCTGCAACACAGGAAACATAGGATCATGGAGACAATGGTTTCCACTATACTCACAACACTTCAGATAGAATCTCAGTTTTCAAGACAACATTCTTTTGTCTTAGGAATTACAAAACTAAGGCTTACATCTTACAGGAATAATACAAAGCGGAACAGAAAGCAGCTCTGGGTGAAGTGGCATGCAGCCTTGAATATATATAATTAGCTTAATTAACTAAATGAAATGAAAAGAGAAAAAAAAGCACTTTCTGGTTTATCTAAAAGTGCTAACACACTAGGCATTTTAAAACTTAAAAGATATCTTTATAAAATTTGGGGGGTGGCGGTGGAATTGGGAGATCAAAATTGAGTATAATGTATGCTAAACACGTACTCCACCATTGAGCTACAAACCAGACGCCATCTTTACAAACACTCCTGATACTGTTCACCAAAAGGAAATTGAATCAGGGATACTTCTGTCTTTAATTTTGCTTTAAATCAGAAACAAGCAATAAAATGTCTCTCTACTAGCTTTTTAGAAATTGTCTGAATTAATTATAATTTCTTATGTCTTAATACTTTCTTGTATAAATTCAATCCTAACTTCTTTAAAAATTAAAACTCAATCTGATTTTCAGATGGAAATCTCAGCACACCAAATACCTCTATACCTATCATACTTGAACTAGAAACATATCTCCACCAAAGATCTAAAGGAACTGCAAGTATGTGATCAGAATGGGGCAAGTCAAATTAGTAACTGGAATTTTTGTCTCTACTGTACATAATATAACGAGATCCTTYGAGGGTATTTTCATATGTCTCCATTTTCATGCTAGACTTAACTTATTCAGTCCACCCCAATGGGACCACATTATTCCATATCCCTATGAGATTTTATTAGCCATTATGGACTTTATCAGCTAAAATACAGAGATAGTCACTTTTCTGTGAAAATCCATCCTTTTCCCCCCAATAAAAACATAAACCCAAGCCTGGAACCATGGCACACATGTAATCCCAGCTACTGAGGAGGCTGAGGCAGGAGGATCCCAAATTCGAGGCCAGCATCAGCAACTTAGCAAGATACTGTCTCAAAATAAAAAAATAAAAGGAGCTGGGAATATAACTCAGTGGTAAAGCGCTTGCCTGACATGTGTAAGGCCCTGAGTTTAATCTGCTGCACATAAAGTTTTTTATTCATTATTTAATCCAGTATTTATTAGAATTTTAATTAAAGCTACAAAATCAAGAACTTAGAAAAGCAATCAGTACTTTCTTCCAGCTTACCTGTCTACGCAAGTCCCTGGTCTTCTTGGTCATTTTATCGATTGCAGAATTGAGTGCATCACTTCTTTCTTTACGTCCAGCCTACATAAAAATGTAAGAGATAAACATTTCAGATTCACAGGGAACCTTAGTAAGAGTCTATAGCTATTTAGTGCTCTATAAACATTGAAAAAAGTACAACTTTTTAATTTTTAAAATTTATTTATATATTTAGGCATACATGCAATACAAGGGATTTAATCCAGGGGTGTTCTACCACTGAGCTATATCCCCATCACTTTTTTTTTTTTTAATTGTTTTCAGTTGTATACTGACATAATACATTTATTTGTTTGTTTGTTTGTTTGATGTGGTGTTGAGGATCAAACCCAGTGCCTCACACGTGCTAGGCAAGCAGTCTACCACTAAGCTACAACCCAGCCCTATCCCTATCCCCTTTATTTTGATTTTGAGACAGKCTCTTGTTAAATTGCCTAGGCTGGCAACAAACTTGTGATCCTCCTGCCTCAGCCTCCCCTGTCGCTGGGAATATAGGCATGTACCACCCAGCCTGGTTTAGTATACCTTTTTTAGACCAAAGTTATAAAATATGGGAAGTATCCTATATGGTTTTCTTCATAAAAACTTAAGAACTCTTGGTTTCCATATTATCTGAGATTGGAATTGAAAGGATTTTACCAAAATAAGAGGAGCCAAGAGACAAAGCCATTTGTTTAAAAGTATATTTTTGTGTTAACTCAAGATTCAGGATACACCAAGTTCATTAATAAACAAGCTGCCCTTGAACCACAAGTAGAATAAGTTATATGTTGATGAACTATGAGATTTTTAAAGAAAGAGATCAAAGATGGTCCCTGACACTAACACCAATACAAAACAATGTTTTAAAACTAAGATGTACCAAAGTTAACAATGTATATTATACAGTTCAAATCAGAATGCTTTGTGAAATTGTCTTTTTTTTTTTTTTTAAGAACTTCTAGGCTAAGCTTAATGCAATTGTAGTGTACAGAAAAGAAGATATTAGCCACTCTTGGAAAGGTATATAAATCAGTACTTCTATAGAGGTGGGAAAGGGTGGTGATGAGTTGAGATTTGCCTGGGTAATATTCTGAATAGAAACAAAATAGCTGCTAGATGAAAGAAAGAGGACAAAGTTTTTATCCCAGGTGGTGCTAACTGTGTCCTTAGAAATACCTAGTAAGACAAAAGCTACATTAAACTAGGAAGTACATTAGAAGTCCCCTCCCCTATCCCAAAACATATGTAGTTGTTTCTGAAAAACATGTTAGTAAACACAGGGGAAGCAGGACACAGTGGTGCACACCTGCAATTCCAGCAATCTGGGGGGCTGAGGCAGGAGGATTACAAGTTCAAGGGTAGCCTCAGCAAGTTTAAGACCCTGTCCCAAAAATAAAATAAAAAGGGCTGGGGATACAGCTCAGTGGTAGGGTACCCAGTATGGCCAAAAATAAAATCATCATCATCATCWTCWTCTTCATCATCATCATCGGAGAGATATAAATGGACTAATGAATTTAACCCTTTGGGTGCCCTTGAAACATTCTGGTATGAGTATACTATCAATATATAAGCCAGCACACCAGATAAATGGGTAAGGATGAGATCTGGTTGTATGTTTTACATGATTTGTTATTTACATCTTCTGTTAAGTGAGGGACAATGCCACTTATCTCTCTGACTTCATTTCTACACACTACTAAAGAAAAGAAACAAAGAATATTGAGGACTATAGGTTATTTAGCAAAGAAGAGAAAGGACATAAGAAGGAACTTACAAATATTGAGTTGAAATTTAAGTGAAAAATTGAGATGGTCACTATGAAGACCCTGGCCAGGGTCTCATTCCTTACCCTTTCCACCAACATTCCTGTACTGCCAATAAAATTAAGTAGTTTGTTAATATTACTTTAGTTGGTAATCTTCTAATATCAACAAAAACTGATTCAGGTTGGAGGATTGCTACCTGCAGAAATGTTTTAATTTATTCAAGGCCATCAGTCAAAAGAGAACTCAAAACTAAAAAGTCACTGACAATCTCAAAGTCGAAATGCCAGGATGTCTAAAATTGAATCAAAATCAAACTCATCTTATCATCAATGCTTCAATCTGGAAAGTCTCAGCACATTCCTTAGACACTCAAACATTTACTTCAAGAAAATTTCTCTAAATAAACTCAGTAAAGTCTGTCATTGTTCCTTGTCTATTTTGGGGGGTATCTCTAATCATCTATTCTGAAACTATTTGGAATTTGAAACCCAAAAGTTGGGCTCACTGACGATATAAGAGCCCAATCTCCTGCCACCTAGAACGCCCAGATTTTCCCTCAATTTGGGTAAAAGGATTTATTGTGAAAATTATACAAAACCAAATCCATGAAATGATTTTTTTAATATTTATTTTTTAGTTGTACTTGGACAAAATACCTTTATTTTATTTATTTATTTTTATGTGGTGCTAAGGATAGAACCCAGGACCTTGTGTGTGCTAAGCGAGTGCTCCACCACTGGGCCACAACCCCAGSCCCCCATGGGTTGACTTCTGAAGGAATTGTAGTCACATAGGAAAATCCATTTAGATACAATGCAATCCATTCCATGAATCTGTTAATTCTGACATTTGCCAAACTGCTCCCCAAATCAATTTGTCTTTCTTATTACTGTGAGAAATAGAAGTTTATGCCTTATTAATCAAGACACGGCAGATCAGAAGCAGTTATTTTCTAAACTTTTGAGGTTACATTAGATAGACCACTTTTAATTACTTTTTTTAAAAAAGTACAGTTCAAATAGCAGGTTTAGGATTCCAATGGTACAGTACTTGCCTAACATGTAAGGGCCCCCCAAGTTCAACCTCCTGTATTGAAAAAGGCAGGGGGAATGATTATATGTACATACAAACACACACAGACACACACGCTCACAGCCTTAACACAAAGCTTGATCAAAGTGGAAAGCTTAGTGATCTGTAAAACATGATTTTACTTCTGAAATTAAACTCATTATAAATTTTTAGCAGTAGTTTAATTGGGGCAAAAATAAAGTCACTCAAACATAATGTTAAGAAAAGCAAACCTAGAATATAACAGTTAAACATCCCTTATCTGAAATGCTTTGAACCAGAAATATTTCAGATTTCAGAGTCTTCCAGATTGGGGATGCTCAACTTGTATAAACATTATTGGAAGTAGTGAGGAATCTTTAAAATAACTGATCCTCAGTTCCCACCTAGTTGAGAGGACTCCATTCCACTGAACAGAGAACACCCAGGTTCACTTATTTTGATATGTGTATCCCTTCTTGGCAGTGGCAAAAGGGCCAAGAGAAAAACAAGGCATGTTTGAGGTCAACATAAAGCTTTTCTTCAGCAAGTAAATCTGAGGAGAGGCAAACGTTATGAGGCAGTCTTTAGCAACTCGATTTTGACTGAGATAGTGAAAGGACTTCCAAAATCCTWCTCCATGTTCCTTCTGTGTAAACAGACTATTTTCTTAGCCATACTCTACACTGAACCTGCTCCGCATCTTTGGAATGGACAGGATTAACAATAACCCTTCTCTCAGAGAGTTTATAATCTGGGGTACATCTAATTCAGTGATATCCTTTATCATGCAAGGCCTGATAGGAGCTCCTGATAACATAATAGCAGGTCTGAGTAATAAGTATTATGCAGAGGAGGTTACATTAGAACTGCTTGACTCCACTCCAACCCTTGCCACGTGGAAGGGATGAAATATGGATCGGCCAAGAAAGAGAAAAAATATGTTCCTGGGATCACTGGTGGCATSACAAGGCATATTTTGGTTTCTAAATGATGGGACAAAGGTTTCCAGGTAAGTCTTCAGGAAACTACTCAAACTATACAAAACAAACCTTATCTCACCACGTTTCTGGAGGAAAGAGGTGTGGAATGCTGTGAAATTAATTATCTATATGATCTTTTCGGGAATCTTCTGCCAGAGTTTACCTTCTCTTCTTTTCTATACATTCTCCCTGGGAAAGCCTGCCCATTTCCATTACTTTAATAATTATGGTCACTCTGCCATCTTCCACATGCATTTTGGTTCTGACACATAACATGCTTCCTTTCACCTACCTGGAATACCCTCCTCCTCCTCTTCTAATTTCTATCTATCCCCTCTGGATAAGGTATCACATCCTTCTGAAATGTTTCACTAGCCATTCTCACTCTTAAGTTCAAGTGTCCCTTCAAAGTGTTCCTACAAGCATCTAGCACTTCCTCTCACAGTCCTTCTCAAAAATCACACCCTGGCATAATTATCTGTTGACTTTGTCTGTCATTGGCTGTGGAGGAAAAGAAAAACAAGCAGCCCATTACAGACACGTTTAAAAGTCATATGACTTAATGTGGCAAATCACCAGTCTCCTGTTTTTTTGTCATTAGGAAAAACATTAAGACTTTTCAAACTCCAAATACTGCTTTCTGTTCTCCTTTTAATCTAGAGTAAGGTTGGAAAGGGTGGGACAAGAGGGTCAAACTCAAGGTTTTATTAACCTTAATATTGTTGAGAGCCACAGTTTAGTCAGAATGATGCCTGGCATTTTTGCCAGAGGGAATGGTTGAAAGGTGACCCTGCTCTGGGATTAGGGCGGCTCCTGCTGCCTCTGGTGCCGCTGCTACTTTGGAGTTCCCTTTGAGTTCTCGCGAGGTTCCAGGAGAATTGGCGTGCGGAGCACAGTGGAGGGAGTGTGTTCCAGGGAAGTGTGTGTAGAGTGCTGGTGAGAGTTGGGGAATAAAGAGTTGCTGTTTGAACCTACAAGGCTTTGTGGCGGCTCGGTTATTTTGTGCCCAGCCAGGCTGCGGCATAATATGATTTAAAAGGAGGCAGGAAAGTCTAAATTAATATAACAGGAAGGTCTAATTAATTATATACAATGCCTTCATCAGTCTTCAGAAAATTAAAATTAAATTAAATTGGCCTTCTATAAGGCCCAAGTCAAAATGGACACCTAAAGCCTTTTCCTCTCAAAATAATGAGAAAAAAGGGAAACATTGAAGCTGTCATCCACACAGAAGAAGGTTTCAAATAAAGAAAGGGGT